AACCATTTTCAGCCTCCAAAATTGGTCACTGACTGGAAACAAGGAATCCTTCTCACCTGCTAACTTGAGTTCAATGGAATAGTTTGTGGTTCCAAATTTATTTTGTGCATGGCATTTGTACACACCAAAGTTCTTCAAGGCATTTGTGAAGAGCTTCTTTTCAGCAACTATTGAAGCATTGGACATGAGCTTTTTTTTAAATCGCATAGTAACAAATGGTTCTGGATAACCACCAAACTTGCATCGCACCCATGTTGGATCACTGTTGCCCAAATAAGAATACACTTCTCTGGGTGAGGCCAGCCCAATGATGAAAGGTTTTGCTAAAAATGAAAAATGCCATTTTTTAAACACACTTGAAAATTTTTTTTCACCAGAGAACAACACACTCTTCATATTGCTACCATGGTTGGAAAGTAAATAGTCACAGAGTAGTGACTACTCATGAAATATGTTTGGAATATTGATTACTATGTTACTACCATCCAGTCCCCAGTACTATTACTGTAACAAGGTAGGTAAAAGTTTAAGTCTGGATACAAGCCAAGAGGCCCATCCGGCTAGAACTTAATTCTGTAGCATGAAGCGACTAGGAATATTTCTACTCCCCCCTGGATGGGATGCTAGTCCATCGCAGGGTTACCTGCAGTATTAAATTCACCAGTACCCATTTATACATCTGGGTGGAGAGAAGCACTGTGAGAGGAAAGTGTCTTGCCCAAGAACACAACACAATGTCCTCGGCCAGGGTTTGAACCCGAACTGCTCGATGTGAGTTGAGCACACTAACCATGAGGCCACTGCACCTCCACATTAACATTAACAAACAAAATGATAATTGTGAAATATGACAATCATCATGCCACAAAGAAAAAATCTGCCAAAGAAAACAGACAGAATCTGATTCTTTAACTGAGATTCAAAACCAAGACCCCCCAGTTACCAATCGGGTGCTCTTAAATGAGCTGCGAAGAGACTCTTAGGGTGCCAGGTTTGTCACTAGGTTTCTAATAATGTAACATGCAGTCTGCATTTCATTAAACAATGAAAAATCACGAATATGTAGCAAGTTCTTTATTATTAAAATAAATAGAAACAATTTTTATGTTGTAACCGTGGGACAAGAAAACATCTTAGACTTAATTAAATAGTTTTCAGTCCAGGTTCAAATTTGAGCAGTACAGTGAAACGTAACAATTTCCATTTCTTTGCTTTGGTTAACACTTCCCGATTTGACCTGTCTCTTTTCTCTCTCTCCCCATTCCTAAATCTGTGACTTGAAAACCAGTTTCCAAAATTCCAGTCATAAGAAAATGTTGGCTTTTGAGACTCCCTTTCCATCAAAAGTTGTCATGACCTTCCTTGGAAGAGTGGATATTAAATAAGCAATGCTCAGAGGTAAAATACATGTAGAGATTTTAAAGCTCTCGCCTCACAATGCAAGATTCTCATCTCAAGCAAGGGTTGAGCTGTACCATAAGATAGCTTTATGTGAAAAGAAAAAAAGGATTTATCCCCTTACATTCAATGTTAATGGGTATCGACAAATTCTTCACAATGGTATTTCCTTGGCTATCAACAGCAGTGTTGCTCGCTTCACAAATGTACTCTCCACCATCCTGCACTTGGATGTTTTTGAACTCAATTATGCTTTGTCCTTTAGTTTGCTAGAGAAAGAAAACAGAACAAAATGTCTGACCTTCAATATGCAGAAAGCCTCATTAGCAGAGATTGACTATTTAAGCTGCCATTTAAGAAATAGAAAAAGTGNATTTCCACTACTTTCAACTCGAATATCAGCTGATGGTGAAGTAGTTATTTTGCTTCCACTTGGATTGAACCAACCAAGGAAAGTCTCACCAGTCACAGTACACGTAACTGACACTGTTGCTCCAACTTTGGCAGGTACAAGAGGTAATGATAGTTTTACATCCGCCCCTGGAACAATTCATAAAGGACTTGTTGTTAGCAGTGTGGAAGGCATGGTGGCCTCATAGTGAGTGTGCTTGGGTCGGGGTTTGAGGTTTGAGGTCCAGGTTCAAGCCCTGGACAGGGACATTGTGTTTTGTTGTATTCTTGGGCAAAACACTTTACTCTCACAGTGTCTCTCTCCACCTAGGTGTATAAATGGGTACCAGAAAATGTAATGCTGGGCGGCAACCCTGGGATGGACTAGCATCCCATCCAAGGGGGAGTAGAAAAACTCCTAGTCACTTCATGCTACAGAAACAGGAGATAAGCATTGGCCTAATGGGCCACCTGGCTCGTGTGCACACTTCACCTTTACTGTTAGCAGTATGACTATCAAGAACATAACTTCGAAATGCCAACAGACACTAATGAAAGCCTAACATGATAGTATAGATTTGATATTAATCCTTACGATACTGTGTAGCACATTAAAGCTAACAAAGGGGTTTTACCATAAGTTGCCTTCATTAAGTTTTTATCTCAAATGGAAACCATTGGACAGACTTTTTAAATTTCCTCTTTTTCAGAGGTTCAACATGAAATTTGGACTGGGTGAGCCAGGATTGTCAAAGAAGACCAAATCATATCTGAAAATGTCCAAAGATTTTAAGGGATGTTCTGAACATTTCCTCAATAAATGTTCTGAACATTTTCTGGTTGGTCATTTCCCCAAGATGTATTTGTGCCTAACAGAACCAGTCCTAATCTCCTTTAAAAATCAGATACTCAGGAGAAGTGTAATATAATTTACACAAACTTGTGTTAAATTGCCGATCATGTTCAAAGTTTTCTTAAGTGTGCCCTTGAGGCTGTAATAGCTCAAATTGTTTCAGCTAATTTGGTCTCAAAGCATCATTTAAGGAGCAAAATTGAAGTTTTTGACCAAAGCCATGAGACCCACAGCTACAAGAGCTGGTTGGCACAAGAGATGCTCGGTATAACACATTGAGGACCTCCCAAGGGTTTTTG